CTGGCCTTCATAAGTCCATTCCATCACAGTAGCCATACAAATTTGATTAATACATAAAATATATAAAAATTTGTAATTACTGGTTTGTGATTCAAGGATCCAGTTTGGGCTACCCCTGCTGAGACACTTGTGTAAAACAACATAGGTTTTTTTTTTTGGTGGGAGTAATGACATTATTTGAGTCTGGGAAAAGGGGTAATTGGGTCAAACAGTTTAAGAACCACTGTGCTAGGCAGCTGGAACATGTGGCATTTAACCCATACCAACTGTTTTAGCTTCAGATCCAGTTTAAAGGGCTGGCAGTGACTGATACATGAGAAAGTACTTTTGGATGGAAATCATATTCTTATAAGATTTTAACTGTTAATTTTATTTTATCATTTGCTTTTATCAGTTTTTAAATTAGTTTGTTGTATGCTGATTTTGGAAGATCTAGCCCATTCATAAATAGGCTAAATAAATCCTAAAAAATATAATAACTAGTGCTGGGGTCTCTGTGTCATGAACTTGGTTAATCCCCATTTAAAGCCATTTAATTGTTGACATCTGTTGACTTGTTTCCCTGGACACATTTTAAGTTACAGGCCTATTATTTACCAGTAGGGTCATGCAATGATTCAACTCAGAAGAGCAAGGAGGCTTCCACTGCATGATCCTGGAAAGAGACATGGCTGCTTTCACAACTCACACACAATGCTCAGTTCACACTCCCATGCATTCTGAAGCATCTGTTCCAAATCAAAGCTGAAGAATTGCACAGCCTTATTTATTCCTTGTTTGCTCCTTTTAAGAAAAAAAAAAAGTCCAGCTGCCTGGTACAGGTAGCCCTCAGTTAACAATGGTAATTGGGACTGGAATTTCCATTGCTAAGTGCTTGTAAAGCGCAACATCATGTGACCGCATTGCTTAGCAACAGCTATCCTAGCAGTTTCCGTTGCTGTCATTAACCAAATCCCATCGGTTGCTAGGTGAGGACCTACCCCACTTGAAGACATTCCCAGTTTGGTCCCTCCCAGACCCGAGCCTTCGTAAGGGAAGGGGCTGCCTCCTCTTGAATTCCCGCCACCTATCTCCCCCCATCTCTGCTCTTTTGGCTGCCTGCTTACCCACTGCCGCCAGCTGCCGCCACACCCTGTCCACTGCCACACCGTGTACCACTACTGTCCTGGCTGGGGCCTTCTTTCATGCTGGCACAGCCGAGGCCTTCTTTTATGCACCGGCCTTCTTTCAGGAATGGGGGCCCTGGGCGGGGTATGAGAGAAGCCCTGGCTGCACAAGCGTGAAAGAAGGCAGTGCAAAAGAAGACTCCAGCCAGTACAGTAGCAGCATGCAGTCCAGCAGGCACAGTGGTGGTAGGCAGGGCTGGGTGGTGGAGGCAGCTGGCAGCAACGGGTAGGTGGGTGGCCAAAAGGCATTTGTAAATGCAGGTGGGCCAGAATGGGCCCAAATTTCATTCACGTGAATGTGGGGGTGCTGCAACAGCCAGAACCAATAATAAATCCCTTCGTTAAATCCCATAAATCCCAACCAGGACCAATCATAAATCCCTTCATTCAGCATTGTCATAACTTCCAATGATCATTGAACAAATGGATTTTAAGCAAGGACTACCTGTATTATTTTGGCTACTTTTTAAAAGATAACCATTAACTAATGCAGTTGTGCAATATTATTAACTCTCTGAACAGCTATACACACAATGTTATAAGCACACATTCCAAATACTCAGTCTAAAAAGACTGGGGGAAACGAATATTTTCTTTTATGTACCATCAAGTAAAGTAAGCATGAATTTGAATTTGCAAAGCTTAGCATTCTTTAAGATTAATCATTAAACCTTCAGGACACTTCACATTCCTTTTTGGTGGCTACTTAGAAACATCTGATTTGTGGTTTTCTGTCAGATAGGTGGGTTTCCTGAACATCCCACCAAGCCTGGTTAGTAAAATTACAGCGTCAGATACTTTCATAACATTTTAATAGAAAGTACTACATATTTTATTGCAAGTATAAATGAAAGATAAAGTGCAGCATTTTGCTAATACTCATATTGCTTACAAAAATGACTTTCAGAAAGTCCTTCAGAAAGATGTTTTCAAATTAAATATTTCCATTTGAGCATATTTTATATGTATTTTTATTCATCTACACATACTTGGGACAAATGCCCAGAGAAGGAATTTATAATGTTTTCATTTTGAGATAACCCACATTTTACTCACGCAGCAAAAACAGAATGAAACGTGAACCTAAATCATCATAACTTAACATTCTCAACAAGTAAAACTGGCTCTTACATACTAAATTTGAATGAAGGTAGCTTACCCTTTAAGAATAAATGATAGAAAATAACATTATGATTTTATGTAGCACAAATGCTAACGCGCTTTGCACTTAAAAGGGTTTTGCAGCAGCTAAACAACGGAAAAAGCCCTTTACTCACCATCATGGACTTTTTGATAAACAAGAACTACATCAGCAACTTGGAGGGACAATTCATCTGGTTGCTTGGCAGTGTATGACCTAATGACTTCTACCTGGGTCAACGCTGAAGGGAAAAAACAGTATTTATTGAGTCATATGGTGAATTTCAAAAGTTCATGAATTCACTTTAAACATGAAGCAATAACAAATGTACTCAGTAAGACTTAAGTGTCTCTACATACAGAGTTTTCAAACTCTTTTCAAATGAAAAATTGTTTATCTCTTCTGCAAATTCAGGAGAATCAGACAGAATACGGAAAAAAGATCAAAAAGGTTCATGTAAATCATTTTTAAAGAAAGTTTTAACTATCAATTACATCCAAAGATATCGACCAGTAGGGGGCATCTTTGAAATGTTCTTAAGTCTTAATCTCTCATGAAAATTAAAAAGAAAAAAAAAAAGGGAATTAGATATTTATGATAGGTCTCTACTGCCTCCTTATTCATAGCTAGATAGATAAATGTGGGCTGGGGCAAAACAAAAATGAAAACAAAAACCCTAGTTAGATACTGAAGATTTAAATTTTTTATCAATGGCCAGCGCAGCTCACATTAAAGTCCCAAATAATTTTCTCATTCCTTGCTTACTTGTCCTGTCCTTGGTCCTTCTATCATTGCTCTGTCCAAGTGCAGTAATCCAGCGAGCTCTCTCATTCCTAAAGAAGGGGGGGAAAGTTATCTATATTTAATTATCTCCCTCTTTTTTAATGGGATGTATTTATATTACACATATTTTAAACAACTATTGTGCAATGTCCAAGCTTCCCTTTTAGTGTGACATGGGGGCATGCAGTATAGAGAGACTCCTGGAGAAAACAGATTATCTAGACCCATATTAATTGGGATTTCAGCCTGGTTACAGGATTAAAACTGCACTGATAAGACTAGGATAGAAAAAGGAGACCCTCCTAAGCTTTCTGGATCTATCTTTGGCTTGTGACACCATAAATATTCTTATGAACCGCATGGGAGCACCACATGGGAGTGGGGAGTGGGGAGACATGGGAGTGGGGAGCACCACATTGTGCTACTTCTCCTGTTCCTTAAGTGGCCAGTACTAGTTTGGGTGGTGGTGGTGGGGAGGTCAAGCCCCCCACTGGGAGGTCACACACTGGGAGAGGTAATTCATTAGCATGGAGTATAGTTATGCTGATGATACCCAGACTCCAACTCTGCCCCAGGCCAGAGAAGTGAGTCAATAAAGGTGATTAAGATCTGCATCACGACAAATGTTTAGGTTGCTCCCTAGCAAGACAGAATGGCTGTAGATGTGAAAGCCTTCTAAATCTGGAGATGATGATGAGGATGATTAATTAACTAAACTTGTATGCCACCCGACTCTCAGTGAAATCAATAAAAGATGGCAAATGTGATGAAGTGGGGGGTCACTGTCCCATGACAAAGGCCTGGGTGAAGGGGCCAAGTATTCACAGCTTTTCTAAACAGCAGCAGAGTGGGGGTAATCCAAATCTCGGGGAGAACCTCATTCCAGAAGGCAGGTGCTGCCCTTGAAGACTGCTTGGAAGCTCCAGTTGGGCATGCCACTTAATGCCTGTGAGACCCTACTTCTCTGCAAGCTGCACTGGTTAACGGTTGGCTTCTGGGTGCAATTCAAGATGCTGGTGATCACCTATAAAACCCTTCATGGCATACGGCTTGGTTATTCGAGGGACCATCTGTCTCAAGTTGTGCAATGCTCTGAGTCCCATTCCTTTAGCAGTGTCATCTTGGGGGCCTAGGAAGCATGTCTTCCCTGTCACAGCATCTGATCTTTGGAATGACATCTCCCCACAGATCCAGATGATTCCCACCCTGATGATGTTCAGGAAGCTATTAAAGACCTGAGTTATTCTCCCAGGCTCTGGGGCAGAATGAAATTACCAACATAACCTCCATCATATATACTGGTACATTACAACAATCTTAAAATTATGCTTCAGTATCATGCAAAGCATGACTTTCTTTGTGACTTTCATAAAAGAGACTGCTATTTATTCACAGAGCTAATGCAGTAAGAAAATATATCTCAGGGAGTTATAGTTGCTTTTGAAAACCAGAAAATCAAATTATATCTCGAAGGTGGTTTGTAATACATGCAGGACATTTTCTAAAACAGAGCAGCCTCCATGAATCAGCTTAAAAAAACATCATTCAAGTTTCAGTATATGAAGAAAAAAAGTGATTTTAATAAAGGAAACTGAATTAAACCTGATTGAAAAAAACACAACAAAAAAACTATGCATCTCCACTTATTAAGTTTTAAGACACACACACCAGAAAACAGCTAACTACAGTAATGCTAATGATACCTGTCATGTCATTTGGAATACGGCACAGACTTCTGAGCAGTATTAAAAGAAATTTCATTGGAAAAACTTCAGTTCTTTCAATGAAGAAATCATGATCATTAGACTTTAAAAGGCTGAACAGTGATAGAAAAGGTTTACTTACGCCAATTTTGAAATTGGCTGAATTCAGCAGGGACATTCTGGCATTTAATTTAATAACACCACAATATTTAATCAGCTGCCTCTAAAACCACTCTATAGGAATGTGTGTGCATCTATCTGTGTGTCTATCTATATCTCACAATGTGATGCTTCATGGTTCATTTTAACTTTTGGGAAAGAAGAAATGGTATAACACTATTGGGCAAAAATATATGGACTTTTATGCATACAAACCCTCTTTAGCCTTCCGGTTTCCAGAAACAGATTTAGACTTTTAGTTTCCAGAAAGCTGCTCAGATGCTATGGGCATTCCACAAAATGGAATTTCTTTTTATGGAATTTGAACCATTGAGAACAAGATGCTTCTTGTTGTTGCTGCTGTTTCAGGATGAATAGTCTTTCAATGTAGTCTAGCCAAACAAGGCAGAACAGCTTCTTTTATCTTTCCCCTCCCTTCCCCAGGCTACACAGAATTCAGCAAGATAGTTTCCATGGCTTCACTGCAGTTTGGACTGAATATGTGAATTACAATGCTTATTTCCTAAGAAATATAATGTGTACAAAACAGCCCAAGAACAGCGTCCTATGTATGTTTGTAACATTTATCAATCCAATAATGAATATAATTGCTTAAGCTGAACCTGTTTAGAGACACAAATTCAGAAATATAAAAGAAAAGAGATTTTAGATGACTTATTTTTTTTCTTTACAAATAAAGATTTTAATAAATACAGTAAAGAAACAAATAGTACTGTGATATCTTTACAATATATATAGTTTTCCCTTAGTTAAAACCAAAAAAGAGACTCTTGGCATCTCAAAGTCTAAAATCAAAAAAGTTATGAAGCTATCCAAACAAAATCTGTTCTAATTCTAGTTAACTCTATAATGTGTCGACTCACAAATCTGTAATTCTGTGATAGTTACTAACAAGAAAATCTATAGGTTGATAATAATTGAGAAGCATTTTATTATTTTATATTTGCAGGATAAAGGTCAACAGAGGCAGAAAAATGTATTTCAATACATGGACGGAAAAAACTTGTTCCAGAATCCCAGATGTAAAAGACAGATAGAGGAAATTTACTTACTGAGTGCCATTTACTTACTGAGTTTCAGTTCCCAGAAGGAGTTCAATCTTCTCTCCTGCATGGTTAATTAGGACAGTTAATCGGAAGAGGTGATTGGCAGAACTCTGCCGAGAGTAAAGCATTGGTGTGCTGTTTTTTACTGGAGAAGAATTCAGTTCTTCGTTGTCACACTGTTCAACTAGTAACTGATCCCTTAAGGAGTAATCCGTAACGTTGTAGCTCTCTTCACTGCAAATACAAAGAACCAACAGAGAGAAACTTAAGAGTCAAAGGCAGTTTAGATTCAGATCAATGCTAAACATATCAGGTGTGCAACAAACGGTCCAGAGGACAGTCCATAGTACCTAATTTTTCAGATATTTTCAGCCTTTCAGCCAAAGAGGAAGGGGGAAGGGAAAACAGTCATGAAGTATCTGATTATCAAGACAACAAATGAAGCTAATAATGGATCTTTTAGAGGAATTCTATTCCATAATTAAGCTTATACATCTTTGATGTACTTTTGTTAATGTAAACATTTCTAACTTGCTTCCTTTTACAGATCTGGGTGAGAATAATGTTAACTAAGGGGAAAAAATACCTTTGAAGTTACCCTGTAGCTCTTTACCCAGGCCTTTGGTGAGGGACATTGAGACCTTTTGCTTTATCGTGCTGGCTATATTTTATCATTATTTTTTTAGGTTTTATTGATTTTATTGTAACTTCTTTGTTTGACTATTGTGAGCCACTGATATTCCAGTTATGAAATAGCCTTCCCAATGCTGTTTATCATATGGGCTCCTGACAAGACTTTTATTTTTTAACTGAAGCATTTAAATTAATTTTGCTTCACTTAATAAGTTAATATTCTGCTTTTAAAGCTTTAGCTGGTTATGGGTGAAGATGTGCTTCATCAAATAGCTCAAAACACAATCTAAAGAGTAATTCTCAATTATCTGAAAATTCTAGAACGGAGCAATTTAAGTGACCCTCACAACTGGAATGTTACCTTTATTTATTAGATTTACATCTCATCTCAAGGCAACATAAATATCACTCCCTTCTCAAATTTTTTCCCCTCAACTTTTGAGGTAGATTGAGCTGAGACTGAGTGAGTGAGTGGCTGGCCCAAAATCACCATATGAGCTTCCATGACAGAGGGTGGGCTTGAACGTGGTCTCTCCCATCCTAATTCAGCACCTTGACCATTATACCACACATAGCAAAAACAGTGACTATTACTGTAAAATTCTCTCTATGTCTACTATAAATTGAATCTCACTGAGCTTAGTGAAGCTTATTTCTTATATAATAGTACCTAAGGTTGTAGGTTTAGTTTTAACTGGGAATCAAAAATGAGAAGTAATTAAAAGCACAATAAGATATATGCATGATAAACTTGTTTATCCAAATCTTCTATGATACTGCATCATCAAACAAAGTAAAGCTCATAGGAATGTGCATTAAAACATTTCTTTTGTTCCAGACCTAGGCAGGAAACACACGCCTGGCAACTTCTCAAACCTCTGACGACCACCACCACCATCCTTTGTGTGCGTGTAAGTGGTGAGGTCTGCTCTATTTCCAAATGGAAAAAAGATTGTTTTGTTTTTTACATGAAGAGGACTGGAGATATCTAGAAAAAGCTCACAGATTAACAAACAGGCTGTTTGTTTCCAGATTCATGTGCTCATACACTGAGAAATGCTATGATGTCAGTTTCCTGTGAGGAGATATCTAGAAAAAGCTCACAGATTAACAAACAGGCTGTTTGTTTCCAGATTCATGTGCTCATACACTGAGAAACGCTATCAAAGCATACATATAGGCAGAGGAAGCAATGTTGAGTAATAATGCTTATTTCTAACTTATATAAGCAAGAGCTGATTCTACCTATTCTCAGAGGTGCAGAAGTTATTATTTAGTTTTGTTCAACAGTAATATTCTTATTTAA